GTATATGTGAGAGTGGTGCTTGCTTGCTTGTTTGCTTGCTGGCCATGCATAATATTGCGTCTCCCTGTCAGTGCCACTGCTCCATTGCGTGGCTCTTCCTCCTCTTGCTCTTGCTCGTGTGCTCTTGCTCTCTGTCTCTCACTCTCGCCATGCTCATTACTAGCGTGTGCGTTTCTGGCACTGAGGGCGAGCCAATCATGTGCAGATGAGACATTGCCCGATGATCTATCTTCCTGCTTTCAACCATCTAGCTCTCTCTGGCTTTCCAGTGTCGAACTAGCATGGACGCTTTTTCGGGAGCGTTATCTCTGGATGATTCTAGATGGCCAGGTAGAGGGCGTGGGTTTGCTGGTCACGGAGCTTGTCCACGAGGTTCCTGCAGCATGGAACGAAGTGGCTGGCGCCTGTGTGGTTACAGTGAGTGTGAGGGGGAGTATGTATGTAAGTCAGTCAGTGTGTCGAGATGTGTTGCAGGATAGGTTAAGTATTGATGCAGCTGTGCAGAATGAATACAAAACTGCTTCTCTCCCTCTCTCTCTCTCTCTCTATGTATGTATGTCTCTCTTTCTCCCCCTCCACCCCCATCATCAATCCCACGGTATCTGACCTCTTCCCTCCCCGCTGTCTACGGCCTCGGTTCTGTCCGGAATCCCATTTGTCGCTTCAGTACTGGCCTGCAAAGCCATTGCAAATCAGCCGCACCAGGCCCAGTGTGGTGATCAGCTTGTCCTCGGACTATGCTACCCAGCCTACTTGGACTAGAGGGGTTACCCACCCATACGGTGTCATTGTACTTGTCCATTTATTGCTAGGGAGTCTGATCCAGTACTGGGATTGAAAGCAACGTCGTCTGCAGTGCACTGTTGGCGAATTCCATAAATGGCTTCGCCGTGGTATCATGCAAAGGATGAGAGATTTGGTGTGCCATGGTATTGGTCATAAATTCTTACTTATTTACATAAGCCAAAACCGTTACAAACGTTAGCTCGTGTTCGTTAATTTGCAAGAGATGATCTGCAGGTGGCACAATCGTGAGCTTCTCTGTCTAATCTACTGAAAGATGCTCCACCTATTATCTCAATTTCTTTCCAGGGTCCAGAACCTTGCCCTGACTCAATTAAAATAGGTACAATTAGTTCAAAAATATTACAGTCTAGTTACAGTCGAACCATAAAATGGAAATCCTATTTCATATTCCAATATAAAATCGGCATATTAACATTTTTCTAATTTCAATTCTATTTAAATCAAAATGTAGTATCTTTCTGCCCTAAACCACTACCTTAATTATTGTTTCCTACGTGATATTTGACAAAAGAGACAACTTTGTAAATAAGTCTAGACACAGCTGAAGACCAACATTTCAAATGAACTCATCAAGTCACAGTAAATCAAGCACCGGAGTTTTCTGTCTCGTAGCAGACACAGCGTACGTACACGGTAGTGTAGACCGTCTCGTGATGCGTTAGTATTCTGGGGTGACGCGAAGTTTCTGACAATTGGGTCCGTCTCCACAACACCCGTGTTGAATGTCGGTCGAATTTGGTGTGAGGGTGCGGTTGGAGTGACATTGTCAATTTGCATTCAGGTTCAGGTGCAGACGTTATGGGACCCTTGCCAGGTGCATTGGGTTGCGATCAGCTCCTGCAGAGAATCGTTGGACTAGTCTTACCTGCCTGGGTCTCTCTTTGGAGAAAAGAAACAATGTACCAGAAAGCTCAGCTGAATTGTTGATTCAACGTTGAAATTTTAGGAAAAATAACTTATCTCGTTTTCAGAGTTTGAGTAGAAGACGAATGAATCGATGTAGTCTGTTATTGTCAGATTGTTTACAAGAATGTAAAAAGTGGAAAAAAAACAAAAAAAGTCCTTAATCCTTTTTGCGAGACATCGAATTCAAAAAGTCAAGAGAATGCATAAATTGAGACTAGAAGAGAATCCTCGCAGTTGCCTTCCGACAGCGTCAGAGGATAAGTCATGGCGGAGAGGATTGCATTGTTTTCCTTCAGTAATCTATGAATCTCAGGGGCAGCAAGATTGAGATGGACGTGGGTGCTGAACACAAATGTTTGACTAAATCCGTTTGATGCCGCTGCCTGATCCTGAAATAGGAATGCCAGGTCTTGTCCCCTTGACGCCCTGTTCTGCGCTGAAGCATTCAACGCCGTGACGAGTCTTTATATTATTAAGACCCACATCGCTCGTAATAAGACAAAAATCTGATGCGTCTTGCAGATTTGTCACTCCTGCTCTGCTTCACCACTTCATGCACTGCTTGCTGACCCAAACTGCGACTATCTTACGCCCAGAATGGGACCTTCGCCATTATGTAATCCTCTGGCAAATCTTCTGCGGGCCATTATCACCAACTATGCCGACATTTTTATACGCTGAATGCTTGAGTAAGTGGTGCAAGCATGTGCAAACCAGCCAACAAGTTGTTGGGGAACAATGCAAATCACGACAACCAGCGCACTTGAAGCTGACAAGTCTTCAGCGGCCTTACCCTCGACGATTCTTCCAGTATCTGCTCATCTCGAGATGTGCTCCCGGCTGCATCCACAGCTATCATGGAGACCTTCGGGCTTCGAACAGTAGGCACCGGACATCATGTATGACCTCAAAAATCTGAATTGGACAATTGACAAAGACAACGAAACTTCTACGATCGTGTGTTACTGATCAAGTGTTGTCTGGCATTAACCAAACTTGAAATTATATTGAAGTACATTCCGTCAGGCCATCGTCAGCTATAACATGAGAAATGCTTTGCCTAGCTAACTACCTGAACCATGCACTACTAACAGCCTAATTTGGAATGTGCCGCTACATGAGCCTGGAGCTGTGACAATCTGAGCTACTCAAGGAACTACGTCGCGGTTGAAAGCTCTAACATCATGACCTCGCTGGCACTCCTAGAGGCTCCCTCATGCGTCTTTCATTATTAGATCGAACAATAATACTCTACGGCCTTTTCACAAGTTGCTACTATCTCAATGTGAACCTTCGCTCCTGCAATAATTAATTTAATACACAGAACCTCCACCATCTCCCTGTGTGTGGAACAGCGGAGTAGATGATCACTGATGCCCTATACTAACTTAAATCTCCCCACCTTTTCATCAGATCATATGCCTCTGCGTTTGCGATCGGCTATATCAATTCTGTGCATTAGTTGTTGGTATCTTGCACGTTGCACGGTGATGTTGAAAAGCGACACTGAATTTCAGCAGAAAGTGGTGGACGGCATCTCCAGGTCGAGATCAACAAGTTGCAAGCAGAGTTAACTTGGGGCGTGGATAAGTAAATCCGCGTGTGAATCCCTGCTGCAATCATCGCATGACTGGCGAGACAAGGGAACTCGGTCTGAAGTTTGATGTTCTATGGCATGAACAGCCGGTTTCCGCACTTGCATCTCCAAACCTCGGGATAGTATTCCTGTTGCGTCAATGCACCGTGAGGGCTACCGATCGAAACGTGGATTGGGTTGCAGGGAATGCAGGCGCCGCATTTGCCTAGGCAAGTGGGCGGAGACGAGCCTACCAACAATCTGTGACCATATATAGAATCGTCCCTATCGACTTCCTTCCGAACGCCTAGAAGAATCTTTCTGTGAGGTGGTGAGCTTCCCTCCTGCATCACGCACGTTTCGAATACATTTACCCCTAAAATTTTGGACTCAAAGGTTTCTACTTCAATGCAGATACATGTGCTTCTTCATTCAAAAAATAGGAACATCTAGTTTAATCTAAAGATTCAAATGTGCAGTGGCATTCTACAGTATTCAGAGGAAGTAGCCGAGGTTCTAGACCTCGAGAGTTGGAAGGAACCAAAGCTCACCTGGGACTGGGTGCCATGTCCCAGTGTTCCTCCCATATGTAAGTGCCCAGCAGCAGTAGCAGCAGCAGCTTCGACTCCGGGAGTCTGCATCGAGACTCTTGCGGGTGGTCCAGTTGAAAGAGCTAATGGCAAAGTGGTCGATATTAGCGCGAAGAAAACCCGACATTGTAGCGATTTCAACATGATTTGTTCTACAATCAAAACAAGAATAGTAGACCTTAATAAACACAAACGATTCGATGAGTTCGATCTGCATACTGGTCAAATGAGTTACCTGGTATATGTCGTCCAACAATTCCTTTAGGTAGTGCGGTGAGTAGTAGTAGAGCCCAACAGACGATAATTCCCCTATTCAACATCTCGATTATCATTGTCTGACTCTCTCTCTCTCTCTCTCTCTCTCTCTCTTAAATCATCCCTCAGTCAATGCCTTATGTTAAGCACTTCTCAAGACCGGTCGCCAGGACGTCCCTAAACTAGACTAAAACTCGCAGCAAATCCAAGGTAATTCTTTTCGATTCCATGGTCATGCTGCCTTTAAATTGTCCTCGAGACAGGATAGCTGTGAGTGACCCCATCCTTTCCCACGGTAAGACTCTCATTTTCCAACTTTATACGCTGAAAGGGATGTATTCGAAATTGGAACTTGTGGTACATCAAGAGTATCTCTCCAGCTCGGTCTCGAAACACGCACAGAATCTGCAACCGGCTCTGAGCAGTCTCACGAAGCACGAGTCCGTAAACTCAAATCTACCATAAAATTGAATCAACCATGATTGCTATGCCCTTCTAAAACCACAACGTCTCTGCCCATGAGCACCCCTTTAAGCAACTCAGTACAAGAGCTGCAACAACGCAGAGTATAGAATATTGCCAGGGAGCTGTAACACTCATGAGCCAAGCATCGATCACCAAGAGACTATCTCAATGAGGAATTCGGAGCTGACTGTAGCAAAGGTGGTGATGAAAAGGCAACACCATCGCCCAATACTAACTTGCCCCAGGGGAGAATGATACATGAAAGGTCTCTCCACGTCGAGCGAGCAACTAGAGCGGCAGGTCTCGTGCAACAAGCTGCCCTGCGTCTCATAGCTCAGCAGTAGATAGTGATTCACGGTGCCCTTTTCCCAAGGACAAGGCGCCTGACAGCAACCATAACTCCCCTCGCGGCTGGTGGGGGTGCAGCAGCGCCACCACCACCCCCCACCACCCCCAAATTCCCCGACCAGATTCTCTGTGTCGTCACCGCAATTGATGCTAACCTGTGCTTTTGCCGTTTCGACTCTGCTCTAGATCTTCCTCAAAAGCCCCCGCCTCCAACCTGGATTTCAATTGTGCTTTGCTTTGCTATGCTATGCTTTGCCCCTGCTGTGATGTGCAGTGCAGTGCTACCCCATCCCGCTGGGCTGCTGCACCCCAGCGTGGCTTCCTTCATCCGCACCTGTCAGAGCCGTGGTACAACCCAGCTCTCCTTCAATGCTCCACTCTGCATCCCATGTCATCCCACCCGCCATCCCCACCTGCAACAGTGTCTGCACAGTCCCCCCCCCCTTTCTTATTCCTCTTCTCATTATTCTTCTTCTGCTTTTTCTTCTTCTTATGCTTGGCTTTGACTCTAGACTGGGTGCCTGCATGTCCATGTGTGCCTGGGCGTGGCCATGAGGTCTGTGCAGACAGCTCCTGCTTCCAGTCTGCACATTCTGCTGCTGCCTGGTGCGGTGCTCCTTCGGTTTCTTACTATCTCTCTCATGTTTCTTCATCATGATCCCTTTCCCATTTCTCACACAACAATTCGACATGAAGATGCACAACATGAAAATCTGCTCTTGGATTACCAATGTAAGAATATTTATTATGGCTTTCCCATACCATTTCTCTAAATAGAGTGAATCTATATGCTTCTTTTAAATTATGTTTTCAATCATTTTACTTGTAATCCATAGATTTTTAGTTTTATGTTCATTGGAGATAATTTTATGTGCATGAAAAAAAAGTTTGATGTGGTTATATATGCAAATGTGTGTATATAATAATTAAATCGATATGTTTAGATGTAGTTTTTAATAGAATATTGGTTTTCTTATTTATTCAAATAAGTTGATTGGACATGTTTTGCTAAAATGAAAATTATATTCATAGTAGAGTTATTAGATAAGTTTAAGAATTTTTATAATTATTTCTATGATAGATTGTAAATATTAATAGTATTTATTTATTGTCAAGGACATGAATCTCAAAAAAAGTAATCTTCAATACACTCTTGTGATACTAAAAAGAACTAGAAAATCAATCAAAGATGATATATTACTAAACTAGAATGGCTATTGCCATAAACAAGGAAACTAGAAAGACTTGAAATAAGACTAGAGATTGAAAAGGCATTAACAAGAGTGAAGAAGGCTTCACTCTTACATCCATATATACTCGTAACTAAGACCTATGTAGTAATGTCTTATAATACCTTGAAAATATATCTTAACTTGAAATGCAAGTTTTCTATATGTGTGCCACATAGTTAGCTTATTTTGCAAGCTATCAACATGTGGTTAAGTTGTTGACCAAGTTTCTAACCTATCAATGAACTACAAATATATATTAAGTCAAAGTAATGTCTATGAAGCTTCTAGGAAGCTTTTCTAAAAGATATTATAAAATTAATCTACTTTTATTTATTTTTTATCTACTTCTACCTAATCATATAGGTATTTATTAATATATCTATGTATATTCGTGAAATTATCCCTCATTCTAGAGACAAGTTCTACAAGGAGTGGTCTTCATATGTTGAAGAAATCCAAAATGTGGCAAATTATATTTGCCACATACTCTGATCTTTATTCTCTTTGAAGATGGTTGATAGGTCCTTTCAACCATCAATAGTGCCCATATTATGACAAAAAGACTACCTTGTTATTTGGTTATTGTTGAGGCCTTTGTAACTTCCTTCAAATAATACATTTGGAACACCATCAGGAATTCTTTCTACATCTAATAAAATCACCAAATATTGAAAGTCTCTTCCAAGGTTGTGATATCAAATATATTGTATCTCGCCATCTATTCAAAGAAAGATATGTCATTCTTGAGGATCTTTATCTTGATTTCATCATCTTGAAGATTGTAACAATTGCAATATCTTGTTTAATAAGTCCAATAATGAAAGCTTTTGAGTTGAATCTATTGGTTGTTGGTTCTCTATCCCTTTAGCATCACAAATACATAGAAGCTACAATGAACAATAGAAGGTAGAATATTATCTTTCTTTAATCTTGTTTCTTTTATAGCAGAGTTTTTTCTATTATTCATCTTACTTTTGATGGATGTTATCGATGAAAAGCTTCAACTTTCTTTGTTGTATTTACAAGATTCTTTTCTTGCTCCCATGTGCATTCACTAATATCATTTCTATGCTAAGAAATAAGATATTCTAACTTATTTTGTCGATGCCTTCAATCTAAGACTTTTTCCACCTTGAACTCTTAATTATTATCTACTTCTATAGGAAGAGGTGGCATTTATCTTCTTTCCAAGATATTCATTGTCTTATATAATACAAAAAGAAATATGTAAAATATGGGATGGATTTTCATAGACTTCAATAGATATAATTGATAAGCAACAAAATTGACTTGTTTAGTAATAGAAAAAGGTCTAAGCCTAAAATGGTTCAACTTATCATAAGGACGAGTAGTCTTGATATTGCAACTAAGTAACTATACCTTGTCACTTACGTTAAATTGTAGTTGTTTCTTGTGATAGGCATCTGTATTAACTTTTTGTCTTTCTTAAGATCACTTTAATTGAACCTTCATTGTTGCGTGTAGCTCTGACAAACTATTTGCCAAATCTTCTACTACATGATTATCAATTTTTAAAAAGTCAAAAGTATCAAGTCATTGATGATAACTATAATTGATAAAAAAAAAAAAAAAATGTTTGTTGAATAGAAGAATGTATCAAATTATTATATGTAAACTCTGCCAATGATAAAAAAAATTATCCAATTATCTTAATAATAGTTAATGGTACACCTCTATTACTCCTTCAAAACTTGATTTACTTGTTTTGTTTGCCAATCAGTTTGAGGATGAAAAGCCAAAGAGAGCTTTATATCTATCTTTAAAATCTTGAAAAGGATTCTTCAAAATCTTATTATAAATTAAGTTATGCTATCCAATATAATATCTTTAAGAATCTGTGATAGCAATAGATGTTGTTAAAAAAAAACTTAGCTATTTCTTTACTTTTGATATATTTTATATATGGTACAAAATATGCCATCTTGATAAAATAATCTACTACCATAAATATAAAATCATATAAACTTGAAATTAGAATATTTTTGATAAAATCCATAGAACTGAAAGACTATGGTTGTTTTGAAATAGGTAAAGGTTGAAGAAGTTCATAAGGTTGATGGCAAGGAGTTTTGGATCTTAAACAAATATCACATGATTGTATAAAATCTTTGACTGCCTTTTACATTTGAAGTGACCAGAAATCTCTCAATATTAATATCAAGGATATGAATCTTAAAAAAAAAAAAAATCCTCAATATACTCTTGTGTCATTGAAAAGAACTAAAAAGTGACTCAAAAATGATATAATATTAAACTAGAATTGGCTATTGCTAAAAACAAAAAGACTAGAAAGTCTTGAAATAAGACTAAGAACAAAAAAGGCATTGACAAGACTAAAGAAGGCTTCATTCTTGCCTCCATATATACTCTTAAGTAAGAGCTACAAAGCAATGTCTTATAAGACCTCAAAAACGTATTGACTTTGCTAGCCATATGACTTAACTTACAAAGCAAATTATCTATATATGCGCCATATAGTTAGCTTATTCCTCAAGCTACTACATAAAATTAACTTGTTCCACAAGCTACTACATGGAGTTAACTTGTTCTACAAACTACCAACATGTAGTTAACTTGTTGGCCAAGTTTCTAACCTATAAACACATCTAAAGTCAAAACTACATCTATGAAGCTTTTAGGAAGCTTTTCTAGAAGACTTTATGAAATTAATTTATATTTACCTACTTTTATCTAATCATATAAGTAATTATTAGGATAAATATATATGTCCATAAAAATTAATTCTAAAGACTTGTTGTATCCAAAATATTTGGGTACTAGAAAGTTATGACAAGTTTAAAGAACACGTAATTATGCCCTACCTTTTAGAATGTATAATTGTCTCTTATAATAGAATGGGTTGTTTTTGAACTTGAACTTAGAAGTATCATAAGATTTAAAAGAATTATTCTTGATATCATGGATAAGTGGATCAAAAGACATACTTGATTGAATTTTCTTGACAAACGTTGAATCAACACTCAATGTTGATTTTGTTGCTCAAAGATGAAAAAAATTTGGTTTCAAGAGAATTGTTCTTTGTTGATAAAAAGATACATCTCCTTCTTTTGGTGCAAGATAAGAATCTAAAAAAGATGTCCAACAAACCTTCTTGTTTTCTAAGTCAATAAATAATCTTGAAATCAAATCTTCATAAGAACATCCTCTAAGAAGCTTCAGAACAATTTAAAATATGTGATAACATGAAATAATTGAAATTCTTCTAATATTTATATATTGTAACTAGATTTAAGGCATTTTTTAAATATTGATGCCATTCTTGAAATGAATCCATAATTTCAAGGAGCTCTTTATTATAGATCTCATAATTAAACTTGGCTATTGAAAAAACTTTGGAATGAAAAGCTATTGGATGGAATTTGTCATGTGCCCCTATTTGTGATAATACTGCATCTAAAACGAAATTTGATACATCTATTTCCATAAAAAATGCCTTGGAGAAGTTGACACAATATAAAATTAGTGTAAAAGTAAATTCTTTTTTTAAAGCATCAAATGATGCTTCAACTTCTTTACTCTACTCAATTTTGTCTTTATAAGTCAAATGTATAAGTGGAGCTACAACTTGAGAAAAATTCTTGATGAAGATCTAATATTAATTTGCAAAGTCCAAAAAATATTGCATGTCTCTTATTGTTTTTAGAATCTTTCAATCTATGATAGTTTGGATCTTCTTTGGATCTATCATTAGTCTTTTATTGAAAATGATATATCATAGGAAGTCAAATTGAGTAATATGGAATACACACTTTTTTAACTTTGCATATAATCTTGCATCTCTAAATTTTTATAAAACATGACGAAACATGAATTTCATATTCTTTTATGTTTTTAAAGTAGATTAATATGCCGTTCAAATAATAGACAACAAAATCATCAAGAAACTCATAAAAGACATCATTCATTAGATGTTGAAAAGCAGTTGGTGTATTTGTGAGTTCAAATGGCATGATATTATATTCAAAATATCCATACCTAATTCAAAATATAATTTTTTATTCATCTTCTTCTTAAATATGTACCAAATTATATGCTATTCATAGATCTTTTTTTTATATA